TTTTTTTGTAATGGATCTGTTCAGGTGTTCAGTTTTGGTTTGTGTCAGTTTAGGTAGGTTGTGAAGTATTTGTCCATTTCCTCTAGGTTTTCATATGTGTTTGTGTATAGTTTTTGATAATATTACAATGTTAGTCTTTTTATTTCACTTGATTTGGTTGTGATGTTGCCCATTTCATTTTTTATTTGAATTATTTGTGTCTTTTCCTTTGCTAGTTTTGTTAGTGGTTTGTCGATTTTCCAGTTTCATTTGCCCAGAATAAGCAAAGCACTCCTTAAAAAGAGAAACAAGGTTGGAGGCGTCTCACTCCCTGATTTAAAATCCTACTACACTGCCAAGACACTGTCAAGACAGTGTGATGCTGCTCTGATGACAGACACATAGATCAGTGGGATGAAATCAGGTAAGTGGATGTTGCTTTGAGTTTTCTTCAAAAAGTTCTCCAACTTTGCCAACACCCTTTATTAAAGAGGCTGTCATTTCCCCACTTAACTGATTTCATCTCATTGTCAAAAAGCAGTTGTCTATAGGTAGATAGATGGGCTGATTTCGGGTTCTCAATTCTATTCCATTGATCTAAGGACAAATATTGCATGGTTCCACTGCTGTAAAGCAGGACTGACATCAAAGTTAGGGGGAAACTAAGAGGGGATATACAACATATTCTGCATTGAAACACATGAGGACGAGAACTGTTTAGAAGGGATATATGATTAGGTATTATTGTCATGACAGGAGTCCAGAATGAAAACTGCATAGTGGAGTGGACTGAGGAAGGTAGGGATTGTATAATAATGATTTTTTTTTTTTTACTTTTCAAAGAGTAAAGCAAACTGGAGGGGGAAAGTGGGCAGGGAGGAGGAAACTTGCAACAATGAATGAATGGAAATCCAAATCTCTGTAAATTTTCGTTAAAATAATTAAAAAAAAAACACCACAAACCCAATTCTATGAACTCAGTTTTTCCGTAACACAAATAGAAACACCATGAGAGAATTGGCTCAACAGCAACCAGTTTTCCTGGTCACTAGAAAGGGTTTGGCTTTACTTTATGTCCTATACGCAGAACAGATTATCGGGGATATTGGGCTCTTTGAGAAGTGTGGCATCAGGATTGGTGGAAGATTCACCAACAATCTGTGTTACACAGATGATACAAACCCACTTCCTGAAACTGAGGAATACCTGAAGAGCTTGCTACAGAGGGTCAAGGACTGCAGCCCTCAAAATGGATTAATGCTCAATATCAAGAAGACAAAGATTCTCACCATTGGACCAATTGGCAGCATTAGGATGGATGGTGAAGAGATTGAGATTGTTCACAGCTTTAGTTGGGAAAATATGCTGTTAGGGACCTCTCCAACATACTGAGCAATGTTCTGGGCCACAGTGTCACTCTGGAGACTAAGATGCGCCTGGTAAAGGCCATGGTCTTTGCAATCACTTGCTGTGCATCAGAGAGCTGGACAATCATTAGGGAGAATTGGTGCCTTTGAGCTGTGGTGCTGGAGAAGAGTATTGAATGTAACATGGACCACTAAGACAACAAATAGGTTCATCCTGGAGATTGTTAAAGCAGGCTTCTCATTGGAGGCAAGGGTTGTAAGGCTTCATCTGACATACTTTGGACATGTTGCAAGGAGGAACTGGTCCTTGGAGGGGACATCATGCTTGGGAGAGTGGAGGGACAGCGCAGGAGGGGAAAACCCTCTTTGAAGTAGATTGATTCAGTGGCTGGGATAATCAAGGTGGATGTGTTGAAGACACTGAGACTGACACAGGGCAGAGCAGGGTTTAGGGCTGTTGTCATTATGAGTCGCAAGTGACTTGATGGCACATAACAAGATCAAGAAGTCAATTTCTACATCAAGGAGACCTGTATCGTCCTCTCTGATCCTATAAGTCAATATTTAGCATCCAAACCATGGAAATCAGCAGGACACCCTTCAACTGTGTTCTGTGCTGGGTCCCTGCCCAAGTCCCTGCCTGTTCATTTCATTTCTTCTGAGAATTCCTCTGTTTTCCTGCCTGGGCTTGGGAGAACTAATCCTCAGTGAAGATACTTCAGGCA